TTTTAGCTATGGCCTTATTTCAGATCAACAGTTATATGGAATATCTATTCATTCATTGCTACTAGGGATGTCAACGGGGCCCCGCGAGGCCGGGGAGTGTCTTCCCGTCCCTGTCCTCGCGAATGGCGGGGATAGGGATCCTCGTGAATGGCGGGGATAGGAATCCCTGCAGGGATTTTTGACGAGGGGCAAATTTTGCCTCCCATCCCCGTTCCTCGGCAATTAATACAAAAGTATATATTTTTTACATCAAACATAAATAAAAATTAATTTAATATAAATAATTAAATCAACAAAAAGAGAAAATTGAATGTGAGACCGTGAGAGTGAGTGAGGAGAAATTGTAGAAACAAGAAGGGGAGGGGAAGGTCGAACGTGAGGTGAGAGTTTGATTGTTCGACCGAGATCGAGAGTGAGTGAGGGGCTGAAGTGAGGGCTGTGGCTGCACTGCTACATGAGTGAGGAGAAAGGGAAATAATAAGGTTAGGAAATTAGGGTTGGAAGGAGGATGATGGGTTGGGTTGGGTTGGGTTGGGTTGGGTAAAATTTAATTTTTATTGAATTGGGTTTGGGTTTTATTGAATTGGGTTTGGGTTTTATTTTAAAGGTTAAATTAAATTTAAAATATACATTTTTAAAATTTTTTGCGGGGATGGGAATCCCCGTGGGGCCCCATGGGGTGAGGAAAATTCCCTGTGAAATTTCGTGGGGAGAAAATTCCCCCCATCCTCACCCCACGGGGAGGAATATTCCTCCCCACCCCGTCCTCATGACAAGGATCCCCACGGGGCCCTGTGAGGATCGAGGGAAATTGCCACCCCTAATTGCTACAAAGCTTCACATCTTTCTTTTTTCACGATTGAGGTCACAAACATTCCAGACCAAAATCAGTCTATATAATATATTTTGAAAAACGTCAAGCCAGCCATAAGAGCTTCTATTCTTTACAGTCAAGTCCAAGTTTATCTAGATCGATACTGGTCTAGATTTTATTTTTAAAAACTGTTATACCTAGCCATCAAACTTCTTAACTTTACAGTTGAGTCCGAGTATATTTAGACCACTTTTAGTTTGGATATATGTTCATGTTTAATTGATTTTTATTATTTTTGATCGATTTTGGTTTGCTTTCAATTAATGTTTTACTCTAAACTTGTTTTTTTTTTGTAAAACCATTCAGACCAATGGTGGTTTGAAAAAAAAAAAAATTATCCAAACTGATGTTTGAGTGGTTTGAACAAAACTATTTCAAACTAGGTTTTTTGGGTCCAACATTCCAAATCAATATCAATCTGGATATATATATATATAGACCAATTTTCATGTTTTTCAACCAATATATTGATCTATAAATTGGCAATTTTTAGTTGTGTAAGGTCCCCATTAGCTGTCCTTGCATTCTAGTATATTGTTGTTCCTTTCCCATGGAATATATGATTGAGATTAGTTGATTATGTCTAAAAGAAAATCAATACACATTTTAAAACAAGAGGAAAAATTAATTAAAAATAGAGATTAAAATGTAGTGTTTTGTTCTAGGTGCTACTTTTGCTTTCATTTTATTAAATGACATTCAGTCAATTAATGTCCACATCGAAGGAATAGAATAAAGTATTTAAGATCTGCTAAAGAAAGAAAAAATATTCTTAAAAACTAAGAATGAAGAAAGAAAATAAAAGAGTCTTTAAAATGTATAATGAATAAAAGATATGTAAAAATTATATTAAAAAAATTAATAAAATGATTTGCTTGTTTGATTGCTTATAAATTTATCTCTAATGTTTAAACATGCAGTTGTGTTTTCTCAAAAGTTGTTGGGTGCACATATACCCTTTCCCATGCTTGTATACCTTTGGATCCCAAATCTCTTTACAGACCATACTTTTGAGTTAACTTGTTTCACATTATAATTTAAAAACAAGTGGCAACTCTTTTTTCTTAATTTTCTTGCTTATCATCCATTTTTCAATTTTAAGTGGATCAAAACCCTTCCTCATCACTGGCTTTGGCTTATCTTTTGTTTTGTCTTCTTGTTGAGTCTGCCTATCTGTCGCTTCAGTTGGAGGTTGTTGTCCTAACTCGATTTTTTATTGGATTTATTTAGATTTTTCATAAAAAAAATATATTAATCAAGAAAATTATAAAAATTATAAAATATGAAATAAAACACAAAAAATGTAAAAAAAAATTTTAAAGAAAAAATATAAAATTTTCTCTTTTTTAATTAATATATTTGGAGCTCTATGGGAAAAGAAAATTTCATGAAGAGACTTAAAAAAAAAAAAAAAAAAAAAAAAAAAAAAAAAAAGAAAAACAAGAGAAAGACTCAGGTAGAAGAAGTGACGAAGATGTCCATCACTTATTGGCCCAATGGATATCCCTAAGAAGATGTTTAGGACATTAAATTCTTGGGTTTAAACCTAGACAGTCCTCCACTCCCAATCCCCCACCCCCAAGTCTCCCCAGTTCAAAGCAAAAAAAAAAAAAAAAAAAAAGTGACGAAGGTTTATGGATTGGATTCTAAGAGTTGGAGGAAAATCAAGGCCAAACCCATCTCAGCAACCCATAACCACTAAACCAAGCTCAGTCCAAAACCAAGAATAAAAACCCTAGTTCCCTTTGATTCTGTGCAGAAAAAAAAAAAGAGAAAAAAAAAAGAAAAAAGAGGAAAGCTCGAGATCGTTCTCCCTTCTAGATCTCCGATTTCATCAACCATTACCATCCCCACCAGTTTCATTCGCTGACCACTACCACCATTCTCTCTCTCATCACCGGTTTCTCATCACCGACAGCAGCCACCACCATCACTGCTCACCCACAGGCTTTCTCTCGGCTCTACTATTTTTCCGATTATCATCACTCCAGCCCAATTCGGATCTCCAGATCTGCTCGCTTTCCTCCATCTCACAGCAGCCAAACAACCTTCTGGGATCTTCCTCTTCTCCTCTCAATCGTCTGCCTTCTCAGTTTTCCATCGACTCTGCTTCACCGTCTCCTGTTGGTATGGATCTGAAACAGAGGAGTTTTTGGGGCAGCAGTGAGGAGAAAGCTCCGGGGACTATCCTGTGGGTGGGGTACCCCGGATTGGACTCCGATCGGCCACCCAAAAATTCTGCCATTTTACTTCTTATTTTTATCGATAATTGTTGCTATTGTTCTTGAGTGGAAATGATGTGGATTGCTTGTGAATACAGTGAATATTTCATGCATTTTTTTGGTTGGAGTTCTATTTTCTTTGTTAAAATTGCTCTCTTCTTCAGTTGTAGTTTTGTTATATTTTATTATTATTATTATTATTATTATTATTTTGTTAATTTAGCCGAATGAAACCTTAGATTTTCTTTGTTTTAGAACTCAAGTTTGATCTGTCTTTACCCATTTGGAGGATTGGGTTATGTTTGTGGGTAAGCTAACCCGACCTGGTGGATTGAAATAGATTTTAAAATGGATCATGACTCATTTGCTTTTTGGGCTGCTTGCCCAACAAATAAAATAAAAATATTAAAAAATAATAATAAAATCTTAATAATTGATTTAAATGGTGATTAAATGATTTGATTAATTTTAGTTAAAACTAATTGATTACATTAATTAGCCTTAATTAAGGTATTTAGATTAGTCTAATTATTTCAAAGAAAGGTTAATTAAAGTAATTAATTATTTTAATTAATTTTAATTAATTCATGATTAATCAAGCAATTAAATCAATTATTTTGGTTAATTAGTCTTAATCTTGTTTAATTTGCTTTATTAAGTTAAATTTTAAAAGTCAAAATTGCCTTTTACTTAATTTTAATTTTCCATAAAACTTTCTGTAATCAAGCAATTTAGTCCAGAAATTTTAAATCTTCTTAAGTCAGTCCTCCATCTTTCGAATTTAATAAAATTAGTTCTTCCACTGTTAATTTCGTTGCAATTATGCATGCATGTTCTTGATTTTGTCCAATTCAGTCCAAGTATTTTTAAGCTTTGCAATTTTATTCATTTACTTTTTTTTTTTAAAATCTCCACTTAATCAAAATAAAAAACAATAAAAGTTGAATAAATTCCCAAATGTTAAAGTATGCTTCCCTGTTTTACACGAAGGATTGTGGGGTGCACACATGCTCTTCCTCACTCCTAACCATACCCTTGGACCCCTATCTCTACGCAAACCATGTGACTTGTCCAACCTTATAATTTGGACAGATTCCTTTCTTTTTTTCATTTTTTACACCTAATTTTTCATTATATTTTCATATTTATTTATATTTTCATATTTATATGTATTATAAAATTTTTGAAAATTTTAAGTGGTCGTCTACAATTGTTTACAATGTAATGACTATTTTATCTGTCATTCAGGAAAATTAGTCTACCATTTTCTATCAGAAAACCAGACATCATTCTCGGGTTCTCAATGGTTATCCCTCAAGCCAGGAACCTTCACCTTTCAAGGATGAATCTTGTTAGGTTGAAGGGTTTACCCATTTTGCAGCAACTTCATATCGAGGAAAAGCTGCTTCGAGCCTCCTCAGAGAACTGGTGCATCATGAATGATGGAACCAATGATCCAACCATTGTAATGGGTGTTTCAGGGTAAGATATTTCCTTACTTTTGGCATTAGATCATACACCTGCATTTTTCTGTTAGGAAAACTTGTCGAAGTCTATTAAGTAATCTTAGTCCTGTTGTTTTTTGAAATGGGAGTTGCCAAGCTGCTCTCTTAACTTATCACATTCACAAGATTAGAGGAACATGTTAAATCACTAGATTTCCAGCTTCTGAACTGGCATCAACTATAGAGAGTTGACTTGGATGCTTTAAAACATACACCGGAATCTAACAAGTGTTTAACAAGGCTTGGAAAAATGATAGAAATTTGATAAGTTGTCCAAATCCAAGTTAGTGCTATTGTTTCACCATGGCTGGAAAAAATTGCTATTAGCTTCAGCTTTCTTTCCATGAGACTGACTTGGTTAGGCTGCTGCTTCTTGTTAGATTACTTCTGAAAAATAAACAATCTGAGATATGAATTCCATGAAAATGATATAATCACATTTCATCATGAATATATGAATTTCTGTACATTGTCAGGTAGTATTTGAATTAAACAAGTTTCTTGGTTGCATTTAGTTAGTCACAAGGCAGCCCCCTTCTCGCCTAATTTGTTAGTTTAAGAATTGATGATTTGGTTAAGGACTTAAAGTATGCTTTTACAAACTTCTCTGATCATCCTCTTTGAGTTGTCTCTCATGCTTCTTTAGGATATAAGTTATTCATAAGGGCTACATGAATATTTCTACATAGGAAACCTGCTGAACTACTTGAAATTGAATCAGTGTTACGCGATCAGGTTCCTGTCATAAGAAGGTTCACTGGGGGAGGTACTGTTATTGTTGATCAAAGCACAGTATTTGTCACTTTCATATGTGGGAAGGATGCAGTACCTGGATTACAACTGTATCCTCGATCAATCATGTCTTGGAGCAGCCTATTATATAACAAAGTGTTTCAAGGAACAGGGGACTTCCACCTTCGTGAAAATGGTAACCAGATTTTTTGCTTTATCATATCAATGTTTTCAGTTAGTTGTATGTGATAATGTGTGTGCATGCATGGAGTGCATTCATGCAATGTCATTATTTTATTGGAATTGTTTTTTACATTTTTCTCTATTCTGCTTGGTTGGTAATATTGAGAACTGTAATTTGGCTGGCACTATGGACCATATTTCCTTTTGAGCCTCAAAATAGATATCCCTGCAGTTTTATAGAGTCCTTTTGGTTACTAGTATCAGATGTCACTTAAAAGCTTGTTACATGGTTTTTGATTTTATTACCCTATGATGATTTTTAAGATGATTTATATGAGAATCAGGTTGGGTATTTTAGAAGATAGTGCCACTGGTTTTGTTAGATGAACCAATATTCTAGATCAAGCATGTCCATTTCTGTTTGTTCACTCATAGCTATTCAAAATCAGCTTGCAACAGTATTTTTCTTAATGAATTGAATAGCATATGCAGTAGATAGTAGGCACTATCTAATGGTGAACTTGTCACCATCTTGTACAGATTATGTGTTTGGTAGCCAGAAATTTGGTGGAAATGCTCAATCAATCACTAAGAACAGGTGGATACACCACACATCGTTTTTATGGGACTACAAGGTTAGGAACATGGCTTACCTGAAAAATCCCAAACGAGCTCCTGAATATCGACTGGTAAGCTGACATTTCCTCCAGTTATTTATAGTTGGTTGTTTTTGGCACCTTTTTACTGAGATTGCCATGTTAGTGTTTGATACATAAAATTAGATCTAGACATCATGAGCTAAAACATGCTTTTGCTATTTTTTCTCAATGTAATATGATAAAACCCATGAGAAATGATTCATGTATAGTGTTGAATATATAAGAAACCTGGGGAGCTAAAACCTGGAGCTTACTACAGGAGAATAAGCTGAAAATATTGAAATATTGTATTCATGTAAGGATTTGGACATGATCATCTTTGGGTATAACTTGTTTTGTTACTGAGAAAAGCCAGAAATGGGCTTGTTGGTATCAGGTTATTTAAGAATGTGCAGACTTGGGTCCAGTAGTTGTGCCTGCTGTGCCTTACCAACCTTAGCCAAGCTGTAATCTGATGTTTACAGACTCTGGCCAAATCTTTTAGTGTGCCCTTGGCTTGTCGCCATGTAATTTGAATTGCTCTTGCCCTTAACAATTCCCAGATGCTTCATGATTTGGTATGTAACATGCAATGTGACAACTGCCATCTATTTCTTATCCAGGCAAGGGGCCATTTGGACTTCATATGCCGGTTGAAAGATTACATGCCGAGAACAATTTTCGTCGATAAGACTGTAGAAGCTGCTGGAACTGAGTTTTCTTTGAGACCTATACGGTTGGAAGAGATTGAAACTCACTATGAATCAGAATACCGCCCCTCAACCAGTTTACTGACGGAGCAGGAACTCAAGTCAGACATTGCATCGGAGCAGGAACTCAAGTCAGACATTGCATCGGAGCAGGAACTTAAGGCAGCCACTGCATCCCTGTAATTTTAGCTGCGCAGATTGACGGAGAGATATGCATCCACCATCTAATTATTTTTGTGAGATTTATTGTAAGCGACTTCCAAATCATTTAATCTTCCCCGTAATTGTAGTTTTGAGGGAGGGGGAGGGGAGTAAGTGATAGAAATGATGGGACATTCTATGACTAAACAAAATTAATATACATCGCCTACCACTTACAGATCATTAGCAAACTTGTAAGGCAAAGTTCATTTTCGAATGCCATTAACATCTCTTTAGCTTATTTTCTTTTGTCCATCATATACAATCTTCATTTAATTCTTTGTACGTCTAATGAATGGGTTATGGAAAAATAATGTAAGTCTTCCCTTCTTGTCTTTAAAATCTTAGTGCTTTTTTAAACTCCCTTCAACAGATAAGGTCTTTGAAACTCTAATTAGTAGGTCTCATAACTTTTTATTATCTCTGATTCGAGAAATTAGGGGGTTCCTGTTTACGTTTGGTTGAAAAAATGGTCATTGCAAGTTAAATTTTTACAATAAAAAGGAAAAATTTTAAATCTCCCATCTTTTCTTAATGTCAAAGCTCCAAGCTAAATGAGATCTCATTGGAATCAACATTATGGCCTAGTTGAGGGGAGGTAGGTTAGCACGGAGCGAGGCGGAGATGGACCCCGAACCGCACTATCAAGTAGACCTCGGCGATCTCGTGGCGTACTGCCCTTTTCAAAGCTTCCCTACTCTTCCCTCTTCCAGGTGCAACAATCTTCTTAGCCCGGTTTCTGTAGTCTTCAATATATGTGTGTGAGTATGAACTTCGATGCCCCTGCGTGAATTTATACATATAATTATGGTTGCTCATGGTGGAAGTTTGCTGCAAGTATCAGTTTCTGAGTTCATACTGCACATTTTCTTTCAACCAATACAGTAATTGTCTTCCTTTTTATTTATTTTCGTATTTTGCGTTCTGGGTCAAAGGATTTTCTGGAAAAATGTTTCATTTAGATTGTTGTGTTTGTCCGCCTGATATGTTGTCATGGAAACCTGGGTCCTTTATTTATTTATATGGGTGTGTTTTTTTTTTTTTTTGAAATAACATAGGAAATGGTTTAATAGAATGGGCTGATTGTCGGAAGTACCCTGCCGGACTTATATCCTGTCATTCTAACAAGATGCTGCAGTTGTGGTTCCTCTGTCTTCAAATAATTTACCGCAATTTCCACTTGCAATGTGTCTGTCAGCTGCTCGATGTTAAACACAATCATCTCCATGATGGCAACTTCCATTTTTTAGCATAGCACCCCTAATGGCAGATTTCGACCAGTTAACTAGTGAATAACTGTCTAACAAGTTTTTGTGTCCCGCTGTTATTAAGTTCAGCTAGTTTTATTAAGTATTCAGAATGCGTTTGTTGTTATGTATGCTGATTATTTGGTTTGAGGTGAGCTGATTTCACACATGTTTTTTCAATTTCTAATCTTCCAGCTGCTTTATTTTCTTAGGGAGGAGCTAGTAAAGGCATGTCTACAGGGAGGGAGCAAGTTAGTCCAAGCAATTGCAGATGGTGTTTTTAACTTACCTTCAACTGAAGATCCTGAAGGGCCCTTTGTCGAGTTGCCTTCCCCCTCAACAAAACTTCCAAGGTAGAAACCTGTAAGCTTTGCCTATGTACTTATTCTTTTCTATGATTTGGATTTTTCCAGAAGGACAGCCTTCCATATAATAGGTAGAGAAAATGAATATATATATCGGTACTATTGAGCTTTATCAAAATTGAATTTCAATTAAGTATGCTGGCATAAAAAATGTGCTAACTCATTATATGCGGGGAGGTCCATTACTACCATCTAATGTGTCATTATGCTTCTATATTTGCAGACACTGACACCTAATAATTTTTTTATTTTTATTTGAACAGATGTAAATAATGATAAAACCATGATTAATGATTTTGTTAGTGGATCAGGGTGGAAGTTAGATGGGCCTGTATAATAGAAAAATGCATCTAATTTTTTGCTCTTTAATGCTCCAACACTCGAATTTTCTGTGGCTTAACTAATTCCTTACTGTCGGCATGCAAATTGATAATTTTTTATTCTGATGATGTTTCAGCTGCCAAAGCCCAAACCTCCTACAAAATGGGGGGAGTTTGCTAAAAGGTAAGGTAACTTATCTTACTTATTTCACAGATTATATGGGTTATTATAGTAATCTTGATTATGTCTGATTTATGTGGGATGAAGCTCATTCTGTTTGTGTGTTTTCTTTTGGAATATCATTAGGTATAAAGAAGCATAAAAAGGACAAAGTTGTATTAGATGAACAAACTGGTACATGGAAATGTTGTTATCGTTATGATTGTGTTAATGATGACAAAGATGTGCCTATTATTGAGGCCAAGTGTCTGATGGTAAGAATCTTAGCAAGTTGCTTTGTCAAGGATGTGATCTCAACCACCTTTACCTTTGGTTTCTACTCTTATTTCTTGGGGATACATTAGTGCATATGGGTGAATGTTAATGAAGTGATGGGATGCCCCAAAGCTCATAAGAGCCAGTTTCATTATTATAGTCACGGTTGTCTCTTTTTGCAGAACCAGGGGAGGATCCTTTTGCTAAGCAATGAGATGATAAGAAAAATGGGTTGAAAAGCAAGACAAGAATAGATTACAGAACTTGAAGCAAGCTGCAAGAGTTGGTGCTTTGCCAAGGTCTTGCTCCTTTTATCACTAGTTAGATTTAAATTCTGTCAAAATTGCCCTCATTGCTTTTAATAACATAAATTTATTTCCTTTCTCTTAGCATTGCATTGGTGATATTGGTACAATGTATTAATGCAAGTCCCTTTGATCTTTTCTCTGCCCCTAACATCAACATCTTCTCTTTCTAATACAACAGGGTTAAAATGTTATTTCTCTGGCTCTGATCTAGGAGTATGTTTCCCTGATGGATTACCTTTAGGCCTTAATCTCTTTTCATCTTTATCAGTCTTAAGGATTTGCCAAAACAAGGTCATTGGTGTACTTTTTAGTTTGTTATTAGTTATAAAAAATAGAAGGTGTTACTTTCTGCAGCAGGTGTTAAGCTTTTATTTTTAACCAGGCCCTGTTTTTCTTTCTCACATCAATGTTTCAACTGTGTTCCTTTAATGAATGAACTCTGGACCACAAAGATGGTATTGGCAGCCTAGGCTAATAAACTTATGTTGATAATGACAATTATTTCCCAATAGTCCTTTTTCACAAGAGCAGTTAGTATTTATTACTATATATTTTATTTTATTTCTACTTTCATTGTGTTGGTTTTTTATAGATCTTGTTCAACTAGATCTTTGTGTTAACATAAATGCTGGAAGCTTATTTGTGTCCTAACGTGGAATCTTCACTTTTATAACTAGAATACAGTACTTGTTTAAGTTTTTATTATTTATTTGATGTGTTATTGTTTTCCTAGTCTTAGTGGCATTAAATTGAATAGGCTCTTTTCTGCAGCCATGTTAAGCTTGCTGCCACAGCTTTGCCAATTATGGGAACCCAGGCCCCATCTAAGAAGTTTACTAAAGAGGAACTGGGAAGTGTGGCTGGTATAGTTGCTACTTCTACAGCTAGTGGCGGGAAATTTGATAACAAGTTGCCAGGAGAAAAGCCTGCTAAAAGGAAGAAAAGCACCACAAGGTTTGTGCACTTGCCCTAGCCCATTCTGTCTTATGAGTTTCCTGGCAGTGGTCGAACATATTGTCTTTCATTTTGTTCAGTTCCTACCAGTAGTTGAAGGATCAGGGGCAGGCTCACAAGAGGAGGAGCAAATGGATGTAGTTCTGAACAAGTTAATCTTGAAGCACTCTCAAGAGATACTTAATGTTCATAAGGTATGTTGAGCTGTTTATTTGTCTTATTCTACTGATTAATCTAATTTTAGAGTTACTTAAGAGTTGAAGGGAAATGAAAATGTGCTCATTTGTTGAAATATTCAATTTTTTGGAGTTCAGGCCATTAACATGTACAATGTGAAGAAAGAGAAGAAAACAAAAGTATAGGAAGAATCAAGAAACAAAATCTTCATCAACCTCAAGCAAGTTGAGACCAAAGAAGTATATTAATAAGAAAACTGCAAAGAAGGGTTCGACATCTTCAAAGAAAGGGAAGGCACAATGAAAATGCTTAATCATTGAGCTCCAAGATGGGTTCAGCATCTTCAGAGAAAGGCACAATGAAAGTACTAATTAACCAGCTTATAGAAATATCATGTGCTAAAATTGTTTAGCCATACCATGTGTTACATTTTCAAAGTAGTTTCAGTTTCATACCTAGGAAATGTTGTTTCTTGTTCACTTGAAGGTAATCTAATTCCTGCCGTTATTACTTTGTGACCAACGATTTTTGGAGCAAGATTATCATGGATACGTTTTGTTTTCTGAAACGGCATTCTTTTTTTTTTTTTTTTTTATTTATTATTTTTTTTTTTTTGGGTGGGGGTGCGGGGTGGGGTGTGGTTAGAATTAGCACCCAGATCTATGCAAATATTAACGCATGGCAAGGAAAACGAATCACAGGCAACAGCCTGCCTGAGTCCAGTCCCACTAAGCCTATTGTTAGTCACGGCATTTGACATGAACTGTGCGGGGTTAGTGTTGACATTACACGTTGGGATTTTCAATATTCGTTGAATCCACATCATAATATAGTGTGATTGAAGGGTATGGTTATAGTCATTAACAATAATATTATAGCTATTAAAATTATAAAATATTATTTTTAAAAATATTAATTTTATTTAATTTGATTGATAAAAATAATTAATAATTAATAATTATAATTATTAATAATAACTAATAGATTAGTTAACAAATTAAAATTAGTCAATAAGACTTAGTTTGACAATGTTGATTTGTGGTTACAGCTGTAGATTTTTTAGTCTTTTAACACTCTAAAAATATATTTTATATATTTAATATTTATTTTAATTAATATTTTATATATTTTTAAAATAGTAGAAATACATAAAAATCAAAACATAAAGAATCGAGAAATATTGTCAAATTAAATTTAAATTAATATTTTTATTTTTCAGACACCATTTAAGAAAAAACTGAAATGTTAATGGTTTTAATAATATTAATGGTGATAATAACTACTATTATTACAACATTCCACATATTTTATTATTATGATTCCAAGAATTCCTAATTTTCTATTTTTTCTTTTCGTAATTTATTGATAATAAATATTCAAGAATAATATTTTCAATGTAAATCACACCCAAAAAAAAGGCAATTTGAATTGTAAAAGTATCAAAATACTTTTCATAAATGAGATTAAGGATGCATTTAGGATTGCAATTGGAAGTTTTTTCATATAGGTGTATGGTACTTTTAGATATTTATGTGTTTGATATTTTTTTTAACATTGTTTTTTCTAAAATTTATATAAACCCACAATAAATTCACAATAATTTTATATATAAAATCAAAAATTTCATTTGAAACTTTTTTATTGTTACTTTTGTGGAAAACACATAATATTTAATATAATTATAAAATTATTCATTAAAATTTAATTTTGTATAATTTAATTATGTCATAATTTATAATATTTTTATAATTATAAAATTTTAAAAATCTAAATTATTAAAAAATAATAAATATTATATATTTTAATAATTATATATTTTATAATATTTTTAAAATTTTAATTAATAAATAATAAAATCTACCATATTTTATCATAATATTTTAAAAAAATAAATAATCAAAAACCAAAATAATTTTTAATTACAGTTATAATACAATATAATTTAATACAATATAATTTAATACCACAACAACTACAGCTACAGCATTGTTAGTGATACCAAACCAAACGCACCCGAACTTCACTAAGCGGCCTGATGGTCCCACGTCTCATTAACGTTGGTGGACTGCTTATCAGATCTGAATATCGAATCTCTAGTTATTAATATCTAACAATACTAACCTATTAATCATTGCTCTTATCTAAAAAAAAAAAAAAAACCACAACCAAACGCACCTAGATAAGATTGCATAATCCAATCTGAAAAACACATTTCTATAATAAAATTTCCATGTCATTTGTGATGGTCTGCCCTTTAGTTGACCTGATCCTTAAGTTGAGCTAAGAATGTAACCTTACCGGCCACATGTCATGCCTCAATTGGAAAACCAAGTTCAACATAGCACAAAAAATCTTCCTATGTGGACAAACTGGTCCCACGGGATCTTCTCTCAACCACTAATAACAAAGAAATAGGTTTATGGATATGCAAGCGAGATAAAGCGATAAGGCCCGAAGAGATCTCACCCGTTGGATCTATAATATCCTGAAAACCAACGATCAGATTCCTGCGTCGAAATGCATCCACAAGAATTCCCATCAACTCGAATACAAAGGAAACCCATGCACAAAAGCCTCTTACCATCTTCACTGCCTAGTTCTACCCCCACTACCGCCGGAATTCAGGTCGGAGACACAATGGCCGCCGTCACAACACAAGCTTCAGCCACTGTCTTCCGTCCATGCGCATCCATGTCCAGATTTCCTACTGGGTCCTCTGGGAAATTAAACAGAGGACTCAGCTTCAAGTCGATGGCGCCTTCTTCTTCCTCTTCTACCTCTTTCAAAGTTGAAGCCAAGCAAGGCGAGTGGTTGCCGGGTTTGCCTGCACCGGCTTACCTCAATGGGAGGTAATAAAAACCCAACTTTCAACAAATTAATTATAGTCGGCCAAATGTTTAATTTAATGCCTGTGTAACTGTTTTGTTTAAAAATTGCAGTCTTCCAGGTGACAATGGCTTTGATCCTCTAGGACTTGCAGAAGACCCTGAGAATTTGAGATGGTACGTGCAGGCAGAGCTCGTGAACGGACGTTGGGCCATGTTGGGTGTTGTTGGAATGCTGTTGCCGGAAGTTTTTACAAAGATTGGGATAATCAATGCTCCGCAATGGTACGATGCAGGGAAAGTTGAGTACTTTGCATCTTCATCTACCTTGTTCGTGATCGAGTTCATTTTGTTCCATTATGTGGAGATCAGAAGGTGGCAAGATATAAAGAACCCAGGATGTGTTAACCAAGACCCCATCTTCAAGCAATACAGCTTGCCTCCACATGAATGTGGGTATCCCGGTAGCATTTTCAACCCCCTCAACTTTGCTCCCACACTTGAGGCCAAGGAGAAGGAGCTTGCTAATGGTACGTATATAAATAACCACAGATATAGAGTCCAAGAATCTCTGATTATTACAACTCTCAAAAAGTGTTTGTGAAATTGCCTTGAGTGATGAGGTTGTTGTTTTCTTTTGAATATGCAGGGAGATTGGCAATGTTGGCATTCCTGGGATTTATTGTTCAGCACAACGTGACTGGGAAAGGACCGTTTGAAAACCTTTTGCAGCACCTCTCAGACCCATGGCACAATACTATTGTTCAAACTCTCAGGGGCTAGTAGAACGAAATTTGAAGATGAATTTGGGAATTGCAATCTTGTTCTTTGCTTTTGTTTCCATGAGTGAAGGGTTTTTGAATGTGACTTGAGCATCCATTGTAAACAAGGAACCTTCAATGTACAGGGAACTAAATATAACGACTTCTATTATTCTCAATTCATATTTCGAGTTACTTTTCAGCATTTGTTTCTTTTTTATATGGTGATAACTTGCCTTTTTCTCAATTTCTAATCCACTTATCTAAAGGTTCAAAATTAAAACATTCAACTTTCAGTCTCAAGTTTTAACAAGTTGAAATACATTAATGGGAGTGTATGACTACTAATTTTAGAAGAGATGATTTGATTTATCGAGTAATAACCTATAGAGAGAAAAAAACTCAAGAAAACAAACTTTTGGATGGTCTCCAATTTAAACAGAAGCTATCTAGTGATTTTCACGTTTATTTTTACAAAGAGTATAATGTACAACTGGGGTAACCGGGATCCATTTTGTAAACCCACCCTCTGTTGCAAAACTTTATGAAAACAAAAAAATTATATATACAAGCCAGTGTCTCCGGAATGACTCACATTATGGATACAAGGAAACATGCTGAGCAGCAAAACTGACCAGACGATCATTTTAATCTATCTTTGGAGCAAGCGCCTTGAGCGCTCGTGCTCATGTTTCAGAAACTTCATTTCTTAATTTTATAGCACCAACTTCTTCACAACCATGGCTGGCCTCAGGGAAAGGTCAAAATGCAGTGCACATGAATAACTCCTGAAGCTGAAAGTTACATTGGATGGAGAAGATGTCTTATGAAAGTCCATTTGATTGCTGCATTAAAAAGATTGTAATCAATAATCTTGTTGCAGATTAAATTACTTCTAAAATGACAGACCAAAAGAGATATGTGACATATAGGAGCAAAAACAACATAAATTAGGTGACTTGATCCTTCGCTAGTAGATCAGATGGCTGAATGACATTGATGATAACATTAATTTTGCCGACTAAATTTAAGCTTAAATTTTAGACTGTGCCCTACATGGCTAAGTATTTAGCTTAACAGCCCCACAATAAAATTCAACAAGATGCACCTAATTCTAGGTTATCCTTTTGATTTAAAATCCACACAGTCAAGACAAATAAAACAAGAGAGTAAAAGCATTTCTCACCTGGTGGTAGGAGTTTTCATCAAATATCCCAATGCCACAAGGACCAGATGAGGAAACCCATGCATGGTGCCCATTGTTATACATAGGTTTGGGGAGATTGAAGTTGCTATCCTCTTGAAAAAATGCAGGATTTCCTTGTAAATTCACTTCCATCTGTTGCTTCTGTTTCTTATCATCTTGCAAATTTGAAGTACCATATGGTGGGTATGAATATTGCTCTCCAAGTTGTAAACTTAAACATGCATTGCTCCCTAAATCATTCAAGGCAATAGCTTCCTGTCCCATGTTATCAACTTGTCCTGAATTGCCAATCTCCATTTGTCTATTAGAGTTGGAGCCAAAAAAGCCAGAGTAGCCTGGAAAGGAGACATCTGTGGGGCACTCTACATCTCTGGACAAAAATGAAAACAGTCATAAAATGGGTAAAATGCATCAGCAAAGGGGAAGCCATCTAAGTTCAGTGAAAATGATTAATAAAAAACTCCATGAGTCTGCTGAAAGTCCCCTAATCATTATTGTTTTAACATAAATATCTGTTGATAGAGCAGAAATTCAGAGTCATAAAGATGAACATCCATTGTCCAGTAATATATAGGAAAAATACAAATAACGAGCCACTGAATATGAAGTTATACATCAGCAAGCACTCACCGAGGCAGAAAGTTGGGTTCATCAGGCAACAATAGATGTTGATTATCATTATTCGGAAGCCATGATACAGGTTGGGTCTCTTGCATCCCACCCATAATCATAGGTAAAGGCATCCCATTCTGAAACTCTAAGCCAATGTACGTCGAATGAGATTCCCCAAGGACTGGAGAGATGGGGAGAGTACATTCCTTGCTACCTAAAGCATTTATTACCTGACTAGTGCTTTCTTCTAGCGATATAAGTTTATGCTTTCCAAAATTTTCCTGCCAGGAGAAGTAGCTGGATGAGATAACAACTAATAGCACAATTACAACTTCAGATCCATAAAGATGATAAATAATTAGCCTTATTCAAGAGTGCAATATGAGTAACTTGAAATGTTAAGTTTGCAATAATGGTAAGCAAGTAAACACAGAATGTCTTAAATACATGTCATGCACGTGTGTCTCCCTGTGTGTGATCTTAAAAAATGGAGCAGATGTTGTGCCTACAATGTAAATTACGAAACATAATGCCTAGTAATAAACATCTAACCTCATATATGGCTACAATTACGTGAAGAAATTCCATACCTTGTGAAAACAGATTCGCTCCATTGATTCCCTTAGAGAATCTTCCATCTGCCCAAGATGTTCTATGTTGTCAATCTTATCCACATTACTCCAGTAGCTGAAACAATGGGAGGATAAAACAAGAGTTTTTCATTATCCTATTATGATAAATACAATGTTTTATCATGATAAATGCACCTAGCGACATCCACATATTGCAAGAAAACATGTAAAGCTACAAAGAAAACCAAGCTAGAACGAAGGTAAGTAGCTAAGAGTAGGGATGCAGCCCATAGAGATATTACTAAAGTTAGCATTTGATTATTTTCATCAATCAGATATGGAATAGAGCCAACCTGGCCCGGGAATGAGAAAACCAAGTAGAGAATTTACTTCACTATCCTTTCAGTGATTCGACAGCAAAATGGTGTGCTTTAGCAAATAATTCAGTGCTCTGGTGAAGTTTTCTGAACCAGAAGCTTTTTGTTTTTTCTTTTTTTTTTTTTTTTCTACTACAATAAGGTCCCATGGGGGCTCTAAATATAATCAGGTTCCATGAAATTCTCTGACTCCAATTGAATAGGATAATATGCTTAAACTGAAATTCCATTGTAGCATTCAAAGGTTGACACCTTTGAATCTTTCTATGATACATACAATGACATAAATAGTGAGCTTTAATTCCCTTCTCATGTAAATGTTTTAATCAGAAGAGAAAATGACAAAGGAACAGTTTTAACAACCAAAAGGTCCAAATCTGCACCTTAGTCTCTTGTGTACTTCAGAAAGCTGAGCTTGCAATGCTGACACTTCATTAGTCAGCTCCTGAAGATGGCATTTTCCAAGAAACAAATTGACATTAATAAAGCTTTGAAAAATGAGATCAAATTGGAGAAAGATAATGCTGCTGATTAATGTCATACCTCAACAGTTTGACTGCTGCAAGAAAGAGAAGAGAATTTAGTTATTTCTTATCATTTTACTCAAATGAATATGTATGAACTCAGAGAGAGAGATGATATACGTTGCACCAATAAAGTCCTGTATATTTACATCATGGTCCAGCTTCTTAAATGTTTTCTTCAATGCCTATATCCTCAAAGAGAAGAATCCAGGGTTAGCAGGAATTATATAATTCTTACTTAAAACAGGAAAGTCAAAAATTGTGTTAAAGAATATATGTTGTGAGAAGTCTTACTTCAAGGCTCTCCAACTTCCTGTTACAGACCAATTAAAATCAGTTAGCCATGACTACTTCCAAATTTGAACAAACTATAGAGAATGAAATAAAGTAAAATTCAAGTGCTCTGACCGTTTTGCCCTTTCTTGTGGAGTCAACTGAGCAAACTTTGCTATAACCTCCTCAATGTTGCTGAAATTAAAAAAAAAAAAAACAACATTGAGACAGTGAACCCCATACATTGCCATCCATTCATTTTTTTAAACCTCCAATCTTTCTAACAGTATCTACTCTGATATCCTTTTGAAATCCTAAACAAATGCATATCCAAAATCCATAACAAATATACAGGAATGAACCAATACATTGATAAATCTTTATATTTACATGTACCTACCACATGCAATGCAATGCTATCAGCCAGACCACACATACATACATACATACATACATAGATAAGAATACACATGAATACATGTCCATAATTACAAAAATATGATTCTATTTTTACCCAAATTACCATGCAATAGGAGAAGATAATCTTTACAAAAGATTTGATCATCTACAGAAAAAGCACTAGTTCCACCTTTAATACCTGCGCTCGCCATGGAATAATGTAGGCTTTCCAGTAGGAGAAAACATGAGAAGGATAATATCAATGTCACACAATATCGATAACTCCTTAGCTTTCTTCAAGATACCATTTCTGCGTTTTGAGTAGGTCACTTGCCTATTCTGAGTGTTTTCTAACCTTTTTATCTTCAGCTTAACCCTTCCCATACTGCAAAATAAGGAAAGAAAACCTCTTAAACTCCTGACCAGGTACGAAACAATCAAATTCCACCAAAAATCAATCAACATCACACAACATTTACTCACTTTAACCGTTAAAAAGTAAACTTTAGCAACTGGAGCTCTCATCCCAGGCTCGTCTAAATAAACAACAGGGTCGTCAACGGAATTTAGATCCAAAATCTCAAATCAAAAGACAAACAAACTGAAACTACCAACATACAGAGGTTGGAATATCAACAAGCAATCACATTTCTTGACAACCATCATGACGATTCCTTTTTCTCCACAGGATCTCCACAGGAAATAGAGCACCAGGTATCAAACAACAAACGGTTCTATAACTCGATGATGATTGATTAATATGATTAAATTTAAACAACCCAGAAAAGGAAATACAATAGCATTGAAAATAAGAAAAATTCAACGACACCCAATAGGAAAAATATCGAATTTGTTTTCTGAAATGATAAAAAATGAAAACCCTTTGATCTTTATTGAAAGACAGCAAAAGTTATTTAAGACAAAATCTGGGCACGTATAAATGAAGCAAACCCAGCGAATCATGAAAAACAACAAAAGCAATGACGAATACAGCGTTGAAGAATCACAGCAGGAGACAAAAGGAAAATTAAGGAAAGGAAAAGGAAAATTAAAAGAGAGATGTAGGGAGAGAGATGAGCGGTACCTTACGAATTCTGCATGAAGGGCTTCCCTGCGATTCCGGTAATAAACTATGCGGAACCAATTAGCGCCCCTTTAGAAAATTGAACGGTGAGAAAATGAAGAAAATTGAACCGTGTGAGATATTGAAATTTTGAACCCTTAAGAAATACTTTTTCCAATTAGCCTCCCTGTACCATCAAATTTTGTTCATTGCAGTCCCTGTACCATCTCAATGTTCGTTGTGGTCCCTAAATTTAGGAGGTAAAGTTCTTTTTTTTTTTCTTTTTTTTTTTGTGAAAAGTCAAGGTGTCCCAAGGTCGGTTTTTGCATAGTTAAGGGTGCATCCCACATCAACCTTAGTGCATTTAAGGAAATTAATTTTCTTAAGTGCT